ATCACTTGGCCGAATACATATTCGATAACTTGGTTTTCGAGTTAATGGTAACTGCGACCATTATTTGCAAATCGCATCAGCCATTTGCCATTTCGTTGCTGGCCCATTGATCGGAATGTTCTTTTTATCCTTCCTGTTCCTCGTGTGCAGCATTGTTTCGAACGCGAGTTTTACACGATTGTCCTTTTCCCGCTCTTTGTCCATTCGAATGCTTTTAACTCTTTCGATCATTACAAAGGAGAGTATATCGATACGCGTAGTTTATTTATCTTGTTTCTTTTTTTTTTTTCTTTTTTAAATGTATCGTTGCAACAAGCTTTCGAAATAGCGTGGTTTACTTTTGGTCTTATAATTTTGGAAATGATACATGATGAATGTACGACTGAAGAAAGATAATTAATTAAAAATTAATTCAAAATATTAATAAAATATTATTTTTCCTTTAATAATTTTAATGGCCTCGATTTACCTTCAAGAGTTTCATTAAATTTTAAATTGATCCCTTTACAATCCCTCAACTATTTAAAATATTTTGAAAACTCGTCTGTGTATTTTATTGATTACCACGAGTTATTTACTCTATTATCTAGCCATTTAAATAACCATTCAGGAAGTTTTGAATTCTGAAAGTTCTTAACTATCGAGAGCCAGTTCGAAAAGCCATTCTCCGAGGAAATTCATTTTTGTTATACTCTGAAACAAAAATATCAAGAATTTAATTAAATATTACATTCTGGATATATGGCAAAGATACGATTAATAATACACGATTACTAGTCAGTGAATATAATAATAGATATAATAATAATATAAATATATTATCATAGGTACTACTATATTATCATAGGTGTAATGGAATAATGTAACAGTGGGATGAAATAATGTAATTATATGTATAACAATGAGAATCATACGTTATAATATAATTAAGATAATATAATATAATATAATTAATAACTAAAGAATGTAACATGACATAATGTATATAAAATAAAGATAGAAAAAGAAAAAAATAAATAAATTGGAATGTAATGAGAATGTAATAAGAGACAACAAAAAATGAAATATTTTTTTCGAATTCATTTTGGAAAATATTAATTATTTCCTTATTAAATTTGAACACATTTGAACACGTGTAAATCACACGATCCTTCATAATTGTATTGATTATCGACAACAATATATAGTATAGTTACGTTTCGTCAGAACAATATGTAGTAGTTGCATCTCATTTCCTTTGTCGTATTTCCTTTGTTATATTATCTTCATCCGATTCTAATGCGACCATGGGGATTATAGTTTCTAGCAGCTAGTCAGCGTACAGAATCGAAATAATTTAAGCTTATTATCGTACTTCCTGCCAGCATGAGGTTGTGGAAATAATTACATTTGAGATGAATAACAATTATTGTTCATCAACGTTTGCTATATCTGTTTAAAAATATATTTGTGGGGATATAACTATTTCCAAATACAGGAATTTTCTATAAAAGAAGTTTTTGGATAATTTTATTTTACGATACAAAAATTTAAACAATCCTATATAACCTTTAAAAACTTTCTCAATAAAAATGGGGATTCTATATAAGATTTCAGAGTTTTAACTTTAAAATTCCAATCAATATAACTACCTATATAACCAACCTGTTAATTAATATATAATTCTTCCATGAAAAATATATATACTTAAATATTCTATAATAACTACCTGCATCTGTCAATGAAGGATAATCAAGCTATGAATTTATGTATTAAACTCAAAACTGAACTTATATTTTTATTAGATTATTATGAATCTAAACATTTTTATCATCTTTCTCTCAAAAAATTAATAATTATTAAAAAAAAAGAAAAAAGACTTTTTATCGTCATTAGACTGCGGATATTTATGTAAAATAAAATTTCTACGAATGATTAAAGAAAAAATAAAACTTATAAATAAAAATTTACCATATTTTTCCAATATAATGCGCTCTGTTATAGGATCATCATCATTCAAGAATATCGAATATAATTTTTATTCAATACTCGATAAAAACGAAACGCTCCTAACACTACCATCGATGCACCTTCTCTATTATTTTCTCTTGCATTTTCCCATTATCCATGGACGAGGGCGTTATAATATATCCGGTTCGGTTAAAGCTGCACTGGGCTAACGTAACCTATTGTGCTGGCCGATACCACAACATTGGTGTTAAATTGCAATTATTAATCGCGGTAAGTAAACTATACGAGGGGTTTCTACTTCCAGCACTCGAGACTGGTGGTTTATTCGTACCGTAATTTTCCAATGGCTTCTGTTATATTTTACAGAAAAATTACCATATCTGCATTTTAATTATGCCTCTACCTTCTGATTATTCCCTGCTGTTGATTTAAAACTGAGACGAGAAAAATAAAAGAAAAATATTTGTTTCTTGTATTGTACACGGTGATTGACTTGAGAAATAATTGGTAAAAATTAATCGAGGAAGTACAAAGTTAATCTATTCAAAGTCAATCGAATAAATTAAGAAAATTTAAATTACGAATCGTTCGAAAAAATGTTCATTAAACTTGATTGAAAGTAACATGCACCAATACGAATTACATAATTAACACGCAACGGCCGGAATTAACAACTTTTTCAACCTCTAATTGCGCTCCGAACTCTCATCACAAACTTCCTAATCCCTGCGTAAATGTTGAACACGGCCAACTATAACAAACTTTCGCAAGTTTCGAGCAGCTTTGAAGTTGTATTTCAATTTCGCAACAACTTCACCCCCTGTATTTTCTCTTTAACTCTCCCTCTTCAACGACTCCAACAGTTGTTTTCAAATATAATTTTATATATCACCGAACAAACAAAGACGAAATTTTCCCCCAAAAAAGGGGTGGAAAAAGGAAAAAAGAGAAAAAAAATTCAGCAATTTCAACAAGCGTTGAATCCTCCTTAAATTTTACGCCACGTTCTCGTTTCCTGTGTGTCGCTACCTTTGCTATTTATCAACCGCATTCTTGGCCGCAACACGGTGTAGAAATACGCGGGAGAAAATGCACGGAGATAATTTTACCGCGTTTTACATCAAACGAGATTTGCTTTCGTGACCCGGCATAAAGAAACAGCTCTGCTAAACTACGTGGAGCACGCGTTGCGATCCTTACAAGTAATTTGCTCGTCTCTCTGGGAAATTATGTTCTTATTTCGCGAATAACTTTTAAATTTTGAGGATATTACACGGGTGATGCACTCAGATATTCGCAAAATGAAAATTATTCTTAACGCTGAAATTACCGAATATCAATTTAAATTGGTTAGCCTCAGACTTTGTGAAATTATTAAAAATTACGTGAATGATAAAATTAATGTTATTTTAATAATAGTTATTATAATAATAGTTAATTATTATTTTTTTTAATCTTTGATCTTTGGATTTTTATCTCCCTTTGATATAATTTGTAAATTAAAGTAAAGAAATAATTCTTGAAAAGAATTCCATTGATGTATCTTGAATTTATCTTTTCTTTTTTTTTTTTTTCTTTTTTAGTTTTAACATTTGTTTTCAAGAAACGTGGCTATTTATATGTCGATAATTAATTAGGAATATGAAGATAATTCACGTAAAAGTAATTTGACGGTCATTTCAAATTTCTTTCCAAACTTCGTTAACATAAAGAAAGAATTTTCTTGTTCGTGCTGTTGCATCGCGAGATGCATCGCCTAAATTTTTGCGCTCCATCTAAAGATATAACTTCTAACTTCGTCGGGAGAGCCATTTAAGCTTTTATTACGCCATCATGCTACACTTCAAGATAAAGACTCATAAGGCTATGCTATGTCTATGACGCATTTATGAAAATCATATTTTTTCAAGAACTACCTCTTTTTATGTAGAAAAGAAATTTTAACAGAATAAAAATTTCGCAATTGAAATTCCATGAAATTTGAATGCATCATACATAGAATCTACAGAAAAAAATCTTAATTAAATACGTCAAGTTATATATTCGTTCAGTTAATTATTTCGAATTTCAATTTCTATTTATATATCGATCTTTTGATTCGAAATTTAAGTTGATTTATAAACACACTTTGATGAAGTGGCACTCGTGAAATTTTCACGTGACAGAGTGATTTGAAGCCCGTTGTACAACACGTTCACGTCAATTCAAGACACTGATTTCGTGTCTACATACTTGTCTGTCTGAAATGCAATTGCATACATGATGCGATGTATCGATAGCGTAGGTATATATCGAAGTCGAACATTATGCGACCGGAAATAAATCGACTACTGTCAGATTGTGAAATGGAGAATCTTATTCGATTGGCAGAAATCGAGATTATTTCATTTCGTTTGTTTACGTCGTTAAAAAAATGAATTATATTATACTTGAAGTTTGAAATTATTCATACGTTTCCCTTGGTAATGTTACTCTCTGTGGATAAAAAAAAATTAGTAAAAATGAAAAATTTGTCGTATAAAATTGAAACTTATTTTCTTATTTAAAGAACTGAATGAGAAAAAGAAAACAGGTTCAATTTTATTATTATTAATAAAAAATCTCTATCTAAATTATTTAATGGATATCAATTATTAAAAACTAACAAAGAAAGAAAATCTTTAATTAATAATTCTCTTCGCTTATTCTTAAAATCTTATTAAAAAATCATATTTCTCTAAAAAAAATTAACCAAAATAATGCTTGTTAATATCCATAAAAGAATGAAAATCTGAGTAAAGAACAATTCAGAAAGAAATCCAATAGTTATCAAAAACAAAAAGAAAAAAAAAAATACAAGAGAATCAAACAAGAAACAGAATTACATTATACTCGTATTCGCACGAGTATAATGAGCGAACTTTAATAAAAGATTTTTCCAGTTAAAAGTAATTTCAAAAATGAAAAAAAAAAAAAAAAAGAAAGAAAGAAAGAAAAAAAAATATATGTTAGTTTCCCTATTTACTTTTGCAAAGAAGTCTCGTTAACTCGTTCCGCTCGTTTGCTTCTAGTGCCAAGGGCGGTTCTGAAAGAACAATACCAAGGGGACGTGGAAGTGGACGAGGTGGATCTGATGCATCAGTTCGAGGAAGGGTTCGACAGGGCTGACTTCAGAGCTGAGTTCAGCCCTAGCCCTAACCTTGAAGGACCGCAATCGCAGCCGAGGGACAACGTGTCTCGAAATTTCCCCACGGTCAGCTCATCTCCACCTAGGGCAAGAACCAACAACGATGGTGAGTAATGGCGGGTGTTAAATTATTTCCTCTCGCAGAATTCGAGGCCCAGAGCTAACGTTCATAACATACCGCTCGAATTGCTTCTCTCACGAGTTGCATTTATGTATAGCAAACTGATTCGATGTCGATGAACTTCCTACTTCGTGAATCCTCTTCCTACTTTGTGTCAGAGGGATCGTATCACGTGGAATTAATTTCGCGCGGAAACGATCCTCCTTCCCTTGACGTTTTTGCATTTGTGGAAAATTGGAATACTTTGTACTATTAATGAACTGTGCAAGTCTTTTTTTGTTTATTTGATTTTGTTTATTAGAAGAATGTTGAAATATTACTTTGTTTTGCTAGATCTTTCCGAAAAGAATAAAAAATAGAATCGATGTGAATTTTTTTCGAACGGTATGTTTCACTGAAGAAAGTAGTTTTGTAAGGAGAAATCATAGCAATTATCTTATTATAATATTTGAAAAAGTACGAACGTGATAGAAAAAAAAAATTACAATAGAATGTCGATCTAAAAACGATTATTTTAATTTCTCTATACTCGTTCTTTCACCTAATAAACTTTCGTATTTGAAAATTATTTAATATCTAGTTGTTACACGATGTATGCACAATAATCTGAAAAGATTTATCTCCCAATTAATTCGATATTCTATCGTAAATGGTATATAGTATCTTCACATTTCTGTGAATCAACATTTTCCAAAATTTACGTACGTTTCATAATACCAATTATGCATATCGATAATCAATCTGCTTAATGATCTCTCCTTCGAATCACTTTCATGATCTATTCGCACGCATATACGCACGCATGTTTGCTTGACACGATTTCTCACCTTAACACGGTCGGTTGGATCCGCACTGATACATGGCACACGCGTGCATAAACATCGAGCATTAGCGAAACCAAACTCGTTATCAAACGCGAACATTAACGCTCGAACGTAATTAGGGTTAATGTAACGCCGATATCGCGTTGCTTTATGATTTATATACCTTGGATATATATACGTGCACACGTATATAGAACTCTTACCTGATGATCCGTGCCAATCCATGAGTATTTTCTTGGTCGATAACGGTTGGCGGTTCTGATGCTAATAGGAAATCGATAGCCTTGGATTTGTAAACCTAGGGAGAAGCGTGCATCTCGTGTTACGGAAAGTACAAGTCCAGATGCAACCAACCGTCGTTGCTCAAAACGTGATACGGTTTCTGGAATTCGGTCAACGATCGTATTCGTCATGCATCCCTGCATTCTGATAATTGCCAACCAATTGTTCGCAAATCTACGTGGAATAAGATATCCATGTTGCAAAGTTGAAATAGATCTTGGAATAATATTGGAAAATTTTGAATAATATTGTTTTTTTTTTTTTCTTTGAAAAAAGATTAATTTTATCGGCAGATCGTAGAGAGATTTGATTTTAAGAATTTTATTTCGATGATTGAGAAATAGTTTACTTGCGTTAAAATTGTTGTATGATTAAATAAGATTATTATTGCTGTGTGATTTGTGTTTTTAATTCTAAGTAATTTTAATCATTAGAGAAGAGAAAATATGTGCAAACTGTAATCAATTAACGAAGATTTTCGAGTAAAATATATATTTCTGTGGAATGTATTCAAGTTAATTGATTCTATTCTTTCTTGGAACGACATACGAGAGACATCAATTCCCTGCAATCCGCTATCATTGAAACACGACAGATGCTGGAAAACTAGATATCTGGCAGACGTCGATCTCTGTTGTCCAGGATGGCATAGCTGGTTCTACTTTAGAAACATGAAACGTGTCATTGGTACACTGGTATTACTAATAGCAGTGGTGAATAGTGGAGATTTCAGGCAGAAATAGTTCGATGCCAGGTCTGACCAATATGGGACGTTACTACTTGGACTCCAATCAGTGCCAGAAAACTCGAGAATATGTAGCATTAAAAATAGACTTCTTTTCAATTTGAAAATCAATTATCTCTCATTTTCATTAATTTTTTAATTTTTCTCGATTTGTTTGTACTATTCTTGTTCATTTTTGTTTGTTTGTTTCTCCATCTCATTTGAATCATCCCGAAAAGATTTATTAAAAAAGCTTTAACAAAAAAAAAAATAGAAAAAAGCAAGAAATTAAAAATTATCTTTACACAAAAACAAAGAAGTCAATTATTAGATACTAAATTACCAACACTGTCTTCGTATTTCGAGAAACAATTCTCATCTTCATTCGCCTCATACAACAATCATCCCCATGTGCACAAGCACGCAAAATATACCAAGAGAACGGGCTGTGCATTCCTAAATTAGTTCAGACAATCATACCATCGTACATATTCTTCTTATTAAGATTCGATGCATCACCCTATCTCTCCGTACCATATTGAATCCATTTCTCTATAAATAGAAAAAGAAACTCGTACATCCTCATAATAAACAATATGCTATGCATTCCTAAATTAGTCGAGATATCTTTCTCTTCCTTCCCTCTTTGCCTGCACGATGAACATAGATATTTTGAACGAAAACAAAGCGTTTTTAATCTTTTGCAAACGAATACTTTGATTCTTGGCAGTATTTTCTATATAAAGATTATTAGATTATAAGTTAAAGATTTAAATATTAGAAATAAAGATATATATTTAATTTATATAACGGCATATTCAAAAGATTAATAATGAAAAATCGTTGCTTCTTTTGTCTATCCATACGAAATTTTTTCTTTTATTTATTTATTTTTTTTTTTATCAGAAAATTCCTGGAGATTTTGCAAAGTTGAATCCATATATCTTCAAGGATCAAAGGATCTTCCAGGTTTAATTAATTAACCTGGGATAAGTTTTGGTTAATTATCTTCTGAATTTAAATGAAACGCTTGTAAAGTATACAGCATTGTAGTTAGTACTGCATAATTCGCAAAGCTTTTGTAATGTGATATACAGTACAATAAATTCTTTCTCTTTTGTTCGATCATACTTTAATCGATTTCCACTTTAATATATTTTCGTTGAAAGAGAAACAATTCGCGCATTTCGTGTTACCAGTTTCGTTCATGATTGGTAATTTTAATCTGTAAATGATAAAAGAATACAATTATTTACATTCTAAAATTATTTTAAAATTCTTTTCAAACTTATCGTTTGAAAATTTCATAAAAATCATCACCTTTAAATTAAATTCAAAAGATTATTATTAAATTAATAACTAATTCAAATATCCATTTCCAAACATGTTTTGTAAAAGTGGATATTTGAATTAGATTAAAATGACATTTTATCCTATAAGTACCATCGAATTATATCTCGACAAAATTACAACTTAATAAACAAATGATAAGAAATTTTTAAGAATTAAAATACACGTTTAAACACAATAAGTACATGAACAAATGTGCATACTATTCAAATACAATTAACCATGTGGCTCGAACCGAGCTACCTTAATTAATCATCAAGCAAATTTACCTAATCTCAGTCAAGGTGTCGACGATATTCTCTCCATCCCGCTCTATTTTATTTCAAATATTTATCGCAATTAATTCGACGACGATCTCACGACGACGCGTGATAACGAGCAAATACGTCGTGAAGTGACGACCCGATGGATAAAACGTTCTGTGGCGATTGAACGACCGACAAAGGGAGCCCCCTCTCGTTGTTCGAAACTTCGAAAGCGATTTTCCCGAGTTAATTTCCTGTCCACTGATTCCTTTAAACGCGCCCTCGCTTCGAAGCGCGACGACGATGAAGATGGGGATGGAGGAGAAGATATTCGAATCGAGGCAAGTTTATTAAATGAAGTAAAAAAAGCGAGAGAATGGATCTTGTTAATTGGTCGGAAATGAAGCTAACATTCGGTGGTTTGGACTCGTTTCCCAGTTGTTCTGCTCTTTTTTGTTTTGTCTTTGTTTGTCGGTATCTGTAATAACAATTTTATTAGTCAATAATTATTTCGTAATAATTGATTTGCATTGTATTGAGTGATACATACAATTCGAAATGTAAATTAGGAGAGATTTTTTAAAATTTCTGAAAATTTTATATGCTGGCTTTGTTAATCATGTAATTTTTATTGTTATTATAATTTTTATTGTATTTAATAATAATTTATTTATTTAATATTATTATTTAATTATTTTATGATTCAAATATTTGATTCAATTCAATTCAACCAAATATTGATCATTCATTTGAAGCAATAATGATATAAAAGAAAAAATTTAAAATCAGGTAATTTAAAATTTATATTAATTTATATAATACAATTGCTTCAAATATAATTTAAACGACGAAAAAAAAAAACGATTGAAATCATTAATTATCGAAAGGCCAATAAATCCATTCATATTAGATAATTATATAAAAACAATTAACATTAAAATTAATCTAGGGATGTTATTGTGTCCACGAATGAATAAGGACACGCCAAACGTTTCAGCCCGAAAATTTCTAATTAGCCAGCAGTCGGGACGAATTGTGTGACAAAATTGAATCATGGAACTTGAATTTCAAAGATTCTTCCACGAGTCTTGGAAGCTTTAATTGGAATTCTATTCACTCGGACGCGTTTCCAGTCGCGAGTTCTCTTGCTTCGGATACTCTTCTTTCCAGATGCTCGAACGGAGTGAAGAAAAAGAGACAGGGAGAGAAAAAAGGGAGAAAGAAACGATCCCTTTATCCAAGAGTTTTGCCTTTTTTATCGCGTTTAGCCACTTCTTCGTAACTCGTTTAATTTCATTTGAATACATTTACGCCGAGAGAGGAGAGTCTTTGGAATATCATATTAAACAACCTTCGTACTCGAACCGCTCTTCACATTATCCATTATTACAAGTTATGTTTAACTTGTAATACGTTTAACTTTGATGTTTTTATTCATTCGATATTTGAAACCTGCTCTTAGTTTATTCAATGAAAAATTAATATCGATTCGCTTGATATGAGCTGATATTTGAGTTCTTTTTTTTTTTTTAACATATATCCAATCGATCTTATCGAGGA